CCCCCCGCATCCCCCTCTCCCATGTCCTCCCGGAACCGCCAGTCCATTGTTCTCTCCTCCAGATTTGCTTGTCCAACTGAAAGTCTTTACAGGCGTAGAAAACCCCATCTTTCAACCTCAGAGCGACTGGTGGTTTCAAACTACACACTTTGCAGATCAAAGCCCAATTTGTAACTGCTACCCCACCAGGGCTCTCACCTATGCAGTCATAAATTACTGTTTATTATTACTGCTATCGCAGGATTGTGCATATAACAGTCTTTATCCTGTTGCTGTGTATTCTGGACCACCTCACAGTTCTTTGCTTTGTCCTGCTCAGTGTGCTGACTCCCCGGGGTGTGTTGTGTGCTGCCTCTCCTCTCACAGCTCATACCTGTCGACCCTGGTCCTGCTGTCGGTTAGACACTGAGCAAGCTTGGCAGTTCAGGCCCATGGCAGAAAGATGGACTTATCTGCTCCTGCACAGATTTACAGTCTCAGAAACCCCACCGAGGGACACTAAGAGTCAGAATCAATTCGACGGTGGAGGGACGATCCCTAGTACCAACCCAAGAAAGTTTCTTTCTGTGCACAGATATCTTCATTTTTGATAAGTCAGTCCTTGTGAGACTGACTTGTTTCACTCCACAAACCGTGTTGTTAGCCGCTTCCCCGATGCAGCATTATTCTCTAACGCCGCGTGGTCCTCCATCGCGTGTCCCCGCCTGTGTGTGTCCATCCTCTGATGGGCACTGCAGGCTGTTCCATCTTGTTGCCACTGTGAGTAACTGACACAGGCATGGAGAGTATCAATTCGTGTTGCTGGTCACAGGACGGCTCCGCTTCTCACTTCCTAAAGAAGTACCCTCCATGCACGGTCTCACTGTCCGTCTCGGAGCCCCCTCTCCTCACCCTCACCAGCACTTGCCGTTTTCTGCTTTTCTTTGGATCGTTGCTGCAAGTATCTTTGCCGAGTCAGACGATACCGGCTTGCTTTGATTTCCATCTTTTTAATGGCTAATAAAGGACCCCACGTGGCACTGTCAGGTAAGCTTTGGAACGCTAACTGCCAGATCAGCGGTTCAAATCCCCTAACCACTCCATGGGAGGACGAGGAAGCTACCTGCTCCCGTAAAGACTGACAGCCTTGGGATATCATCTAGGGTTGCTGCGAGGCAGAATGGATCAGATGGGAGTGGGTTTGGTTTGCTGGTTGGTGGCTAACGATCACGAGAGTCCCTTCAAGCATGTGTTGGCGTCCTGAATGTCTTCTTTGGGGACGGGTCTACTGGTGACCTATGCCCACCGTGTAGGTGAATTACTTGTCTTTTTAGGGTTGAGGTGTTGAAAGTTTTTATATATCTTGGAGATTAGAGCCTGGCCAGATGTGACTGTGTATGTGAAAGTGTTTTCCCCAGTCTGTAAGTTCCCGTCACTCTTTGGGGAAAGTCTTTAGAGGCACACAAGTACTTCATTTCAGAGGGCTGAGCGAACGAGTTTCTCTTCCACAGTTTCTAACGTTGAAGTTACTGTATGCCAGAAATTTGGGTCCCTAAGTTTGTCCTTCAAAGGTGGCATGGCAGGTTCTGCATTGAGCTGCTACTTGCAAGGTTAGCAGTTCAGACCCACCAGTTGCTCCTCAGGAGAAAGATGAGGCTTTCTGCTCTCATAAAATTTTAAAGTCATTTTGTTACTTTAAAGGCAACTCAACCATGGGGGTGAGGGGTGTTCTAAAATTGATATTGCAATAAGTGTACAATGCTCCTTGATATGATTAAATGATTGACGTGTATGCTATGTAAATTATGAGCTGATGAGACTGTTTATATAAGAAAAAGTCTCTGAAGCCCAAGGGGGCAGCTCTACTCTGTCCTATGAGACTGCTACGAGCCAGAGCTGACGGATGAAGCTGGGCATGGGTTGAAGTCAGTCCCCGTGGCACCTTGCTGGCACTGTCCAGTAAGCACTGGCCTGCAGCTGTCAGCTGCTCCGCAGAGGAGGACGAAGCTGTCTGCTCCTGTCAAGAGTGACAACCGCAGAATTCCACAGGTAGGCTTGCTGTGAATGGGCATCTTCTATGACCTTTGTAATTTCAGGTTGTACATTGAGATCCCTGTTCCATTTGGGCTAGTTTTTAGTACCTGGTGTGATGTATGGACAAGGTTGTACATTGAGATCCTTGTTCCATTTGGGCTAGTTTTTAGTACCTAGTGTGATGTATGGACCCTGCTTTATTTCCCTATAAATAGATACTCAGTTTTGCAAGCACCACTTGTTAAAGAGAATAGCTCTTCCCCATCTAGTGGATTCCAGCCTTTCGTGGATCACTGTGTTTGAAGTAAAAGGCTACTGGTCTGCTTCAGACAGAAATCTTGCCTGGCTGCAAAAAGAAACCAAACAAAACCAAAACAAAACCAAAAAACAACTCCAAGACCAGTGTCATCCTCGAGTCAAAGTGAACGCTCCCAAATGGCCAATTTCCACACAGGCCTAGAGCGCCACCTGCTGGTTCCCCCAAATGAACAACATTTCCAAGGATCTCACACTAACCTGAGTGCTACGGCAGCTGATGCCTGGTCAAGAAGCTTCCCTCCTCACCAACGAAATAAACTCCTTACCTGGCTCTCTCCCTGACTCTGGACTAGAGACAGGGGCATGCCCAAACCTCTTTTACAAGTCTCTAATTCAATCAGTCTGAAATGATCCACAGCAGAACTGTAGGTCACCCCTTACTCCGAATGGAGCCAAGGTGGTGGTGGTTACATGTTGAGCTGCCAACCGCAAGGTCGGCAGTTCAAATCCACCAGCCCACTCTGCAGAGAAAGACAAGCCTTTCTACTCCCACACAGAGTTACAGCCTCAGAAACCCACAGTAGCAGGTCCACCTTGTCCTATATGCTCCCTATGTGTTGGAATCAGCTCGATATTGGGCGGAGAATTTTATTCCCAACAAATGGCTTTCGAGGTTACAACCCAAAGCTTGGGGTATTGGCCAGGGTCCTTACAACTTGGTAGATCCCAGCTTAAATTTGTCCCTAGCCCTCTAAATCTGGAAAGAGCTCTGCTCAGCTGCTCGTCCACACTTTTGTCCTAACATCTTAGTCTGTCACCAACTGAGAAAGGGCTCCTTAATCACTCTCTGTCGATATGGATAACCTAGGATGTGACCACACACAGCCAGGGGCATGAACGAGACGGGCTGCGACAGTTTCCCTTCCCTAAGCACAGACAGCCTCTAGACTCCCCGCTCCCCTGGCCCCGGAATCCTGCCTTGCATCCCTTCCTCCGAACCACTCGGAACCTGGACAGGGTGCCTCCCGTGGAGCAGTGACTCTGCTCTCTGTGTAGGGCCAAGAGCCACCAGGCAGCGAAGGTCTTTAACCCCAAAGCCGTGCTGCAGCCCATGTCCCCAGAGGGAGGTGCCACCAGGCTCCTCATGCTCCAGCAGTGCACCAGGTACAAGCAACTGAAGCCCATGCGGGTCCTAACTTTTCCCAGGAAGTCCGGCGTTGAGCGGGACTAGCACTGGCCTGGGGAGCTGGCTCTGCATGCCCAGCTGGACTGCTATCTAGCTGTGTTCATTCAGGTTTTGGGAATGCATGGAGGCCCTGGGGGCCAGACCCGCGGCTAGGCACGGAGGATATAGGGATGGCTGACACACAGACGTGCTGTGCTGAGTAACCTGCACAGTTCCCTCTGACGGGCAGTGCTGAGGTCTTACAAGCAGCCAGGCAGCCCTGGCGGGTCGTCTGTGCCTGTGTGGCTATGACCTGGCCGGGCGTCAGTCCCCACCCCTCTAAAACAGCTGACAATGCACCAGCTACCTTGTGCAGCCACAGCGGGAGGCGTCCAGAGTCGCTCTGCAGGGCGTCCTTCTGCTGGACGGCGGCCCAGCAGTACGAGTCCACGAAGGAGGCCTGGCGCCAGGAGAATGAAGTTGGGGAGAAACAGCTTATTTGTGTACCTGGGAAGGTAAACAACAGATTGTTCCGAATCAATGAAAACACCGTTGTCTGGGCCCTTCCCCACCCGCCCAGGTCGCCGTCCCTCCCGCATGCCTGTAGGTCCAGGGCACCGAGACAGGCCATTGCGTCAATCCGACTCACAGCAACCCGACAGAACAGGGCAGAACTGCCCTTGTGGGTTTCCAAGACTTTACTCCTTGATAGGAGTCGAAAGTCTCATCTTTCTCCCCGGGGGGCAGCTGGTGGTTTCGAACTGCTGACCTTCCGACTAGCAGCCTAACTTGTACCCCACTATGCCACCAGGACCATGGCAATGGGCAGGGACATTCACCGAAGGCAGAAGGAGAACCAACAACCCCCCAAATGTAAAGCAACACCAAGTCTGGAAGAGCTTTCTGGCCAGCACTGGTTTAGAGGGTGGCTGGGTCCCGGGAGAGACGACCTCCAAGAAGGGAAGTCACCATGCAGAAAAAGGGAGAGGAAAAGAACCAGAGCCGAAACAAAGCCAGCACAAACGCCTTAGGGAAAGGGGAGTCCTTTTCGTCTGAGGTCAGCGCAGGAGAAAGAAAGGGTGAATGGAGGGGCGGGTGGGGAGGAGTGGTGCTAATGCAGATGAGAAATGAGAGTCCTTTCGGAACCAAGAGCTTTGAGCCAGAGCGGGCATCTGGTAACTGGCCAAATCAGCGGTCTCCCGTCTCCTCTAAGTCTGCATCTGGAAGGCCGGCACCCAGACATGGAGATGCACCGGTCCGCAGGACAGGGATCGCGAGACCTGTGTCTCCTCCAGGAGCCGCTGAAAATTGCCCTCCTGGAGAGGACAGCTGGGAGGCAGAGGTCTCTATGGAAACAGAAGGCAGTACCACTCTGCAGATGCTGCCATTACCCATTTCGATTGTGTAGGGAGGGTGAGCATCACGAGAAGCCAGGTTATTAGAACAAAGTGTTCTGTGTTGAGGGAGGACTTGAGTAGACGCCCAATGTCTGTCTGCTTCCTTGATGCTTAACATATAAATATATGTACATAGATCTATTTACCTGTTATTATATAAAAATATATTTACATATGTACATGCCTGGATGTAGACCTCTATAAATGCCCTTTGCATTCTACTTCTTGCCTCTATTTCCTTTTACTTTCCTCTTGTCCCACTATCATGGCTGGCGCTCATTCGGGTTTCAGTAGTTCCTCTCGGTTACATTACCCTTGATCAAACCCTACCAGGCCCCCTACACCGTCCTCGCCATCGATTTTAGATCACTTGTTGTTCCCTTGTCCCTGGGTTTGTTAACACCCACTTCCTTCCCCCCCCCATGTCTCCCCAGAACCGTGGGTCCCATTGTTTTCCCCTCCATACTGTTTATCCCACCTATCTGATCTAGAAAACACGCAGAAACAATAATGTGCACAAAAACAAGGCAGAGCAAAACAAACAACAAAAAATTAAAAATCCAAACAACAACACCACCCAAAAAAATAATAAATCTTGTGTTTTTAAGGGTTGTAAAGAAAAACAAGAATATAAAAAGGTCATCATAAAACTTGTAAAACCTATTTTCTACCTGGCCCTGCTTAAGTGGTAAAAAGACTGGGCCTTGCCCTTAGACCCCGTGCCCAGTGTTTGTATTGGGGTTTCATTGTGTAGGCAGGACTGATGGGATGCCTGGCACGGGACACGGGTGGGTCTTGCTGGCATAGCCAGTGCCCCTCCCCCTGTTAACGCTGACTGCCAGGGGCAGTGCGAAGGGCTCAGTAGGAGAAACAGACACACCCTATCGCTAGGGAAGGCCCAAGGGGTGCGAGGCTGCCTCCCAGGACCAGAACTGGAGAGCTGACTTAGGATGCGCTCTGTCTGTACTACTCACACTGTGGGGGCTGTGTGGGGAAATGAGGGCTGCCAGGGCCAGGGTGGGCTCTTTGCCTCCTGTCCAAGAGGGAGACACAATTTCTGCCCTGAACCCCGCAGGTCCTATTGGTCACGGTGCTCCTGTGACCCTGTGAGTCAGGGGGCAGGAGAGCCAGCTGGTCTGTCCCACAAGTTCTCTTTCTGAAGAGTACAATTCCCATAAATTTTTGGAGCCCCTTCATACATAGAAGCTTCCTATAATGCTGCACAGACATGCAGAGAGGCAAACGTTTTACACAATCTTTCCTCCAGCGACAATAAGCTCCCAGCACAGCCATATTCACCACCAGACTTCCTTTACACAGTTACACAAGTCCCTGCCCTGAACTCCGCAAACTGTCCACGTGGAGAAACAGCTGCCAAGAAACTCCGGAGAGAGAATATCTAAGTGTTACTGGGATGAAGGTGAGACAAAGCGTATTGCTAGAAAATCACAGGAAACCTCTATCAGACAGAAACAACACAATGGGGAGCCCCTGTTCCTTGAAAAATCCGACCCCTGGGTCTACACACTTCTGAACCGATGCTCCCCTCTTCCTAACCCTTCTGCAAAGAACTCTGCCCTCTTCGACGTTCACCAGAGCAGCGGCAGTGGCTGCTCCAGGGCACAAATGCTCCCCCTTCCAAATGTTCTATGAGCATCTGGTACAGAAAGATATCAAAGGGCAAGACTAGCTTTATAAAATGGATGGAGTAAGGCTTCCCAACAACATTCTCCTAGTACAGCCCTTGCTCCCCTTGAAGAACAAGTGGGTCCGTCGTCATGATGGGGGGGAATCCTGTGTACGTTTCCTGGCCCTTCTCTCGCCTATGTAATTTTTGATTTTTAGAAAACTTCTACACGATAAAACCCCATGATCATTGTACCCCTCAAGAAAAATCTATTAAGGTGAGCCCTTTGTGACCCCAATCAATAGTGGCCAATCACATTCTGGGCTGACCTCTATGTCTTGAATTTCACTAGCCTAGCAGATCTCTCAGAATTCAGTTTTGAGGGGACCTTTTTAAATGTGTGCTAAGGAGACTAATACAAACATACCCCTTATCTGCAACCATCCACTGAGCACAAAGGCATGTTTAAGCATGTTTGACTTGGGATAAACCCATGCATGTAGGCACTAGAACTCTACCAGAAATGTTTTTTGACTTACAAGTGTAGGTCCCACAGGTTACAAAAGAGTTATAGTATGACCTCCTTTAACCCTCACAACCAAATCAAGAAAGATGCTGCTTCCATTCTGTGCAGCAGGAAACAAAGCAGTCCCCTACCCAAATTAGTCAGTGGTAGCACCAGGATTTCAATCCATATTCAACTCCCCCTCTCTTTCACACTCCTCTCAGGGCAAATCACTCTTCCCAAGCCCAGCACTGGGGAAGCCACACGGGAGAATGTCCCAGGAGCCAGGGCTATGGAATGGGTGCTTGGGGTAGCTGTTCACCCCAGGTGGGCAGGGGTGAGAGGACTCCAAGGAAGAGCCAAGGATCTAATGCAGAAAAACAACCAGATCATCACGTCCCAGGGATGAGCTTAGTCCAGAAACAAGAAATGAAAGCAAAAAGTCAAGAGCCAGGCAGGGGAGAAACCAAATGGGCATGGGGTGGAGGTGGGGGGGGCAAAGCAAGAGGGCTGCAGGTGCCCAGCACAAGCTGCAGTGTGCAGCCCAGTGCCTTCTCCAGGGAGACAGAGGAGGCTTTCTGCTCGGAACCCCCAGGGACAGTTCCAGTCTGTCCCATGGGGTTGAAATATGAGTCAGAATCAGTAAGTTTGATTTTTAGCTCAGTCTGGCTAAAAGGCATGGGGGCCAGGTAGCGTTTCCATCCCCAACTATATAGCTCTTTACTTTTCAACAAGACAAACAAAAAACTAGCAATTGCTGTTGAGTTGAGTCTAACTCCTGGTAACTCCATTTGTTGCAGGATAGACTTACACTCCAATTGGTCCAATAGAATAATGGATAACATAAACATCCGTCTCCATAACCTGAAAAAGTAGATGATGCTCGACTACCACTAGATGGTGCCCAGCTACCACTACCAACTGTTCTGGACAGAATCACATTAGAAGGTCCAGGATAAGAGTGAGAGAAGATGTGATAAAAAAAACCCAAAACAAAAAACTGACAATGCTAAAAAAGACCACACTTAGCGGTTGGATAGATATTGGTAGGACCCTGTGCTAGTCTAGGTACTTTAGAGAAACAAATGTATAAAAGAGAGTTTTATAGAAAGGTTAAGTGTGCATCAAGAAAACATCCCAACCCAGTGCTGTCCAAGCCCACAAGCCCAACATTAACCCATATGTCCAACACCAATCCTCAAAGTCCTCCTCCATCTCATAAAACAGACGCAACGATGCCGACTGCAGGAGGAAAGCCAAGTCAGTGAATGTGTAAGCATCTCAGTGCTGGCAGGGGTCTCCACACAGCTGCTCCAGCACCCAGGGCTGCATTCGGGTAGGTCCATGTGGCTTTTCCTTGGGGATGTCTTGTAGGAAGTCAGCCTTGCAAGCTGAATCAGGGAACTGCTAAGGCAGCTGCACCCTGGTCCGACCATTGCAAAGCAAGAGACTCGAGAACTAGAAAGGCGAGGTTCAATGAGCCATTTATCCCTCCACTTTTCAATTAACCCCACGTGTTTATTGGCCAGGTTGGCACAATAAACTACCTCAGACGCCAAACACCATGGTCCTTTACCCTTGGGGCCTGGAACTGATCTCATCTCCACAGGAGAATAATCAACCATTCAAGACCAAGGACAACCTTCAGAGGTTAGGGAAGGAAGAGGAATAAAGATGCAGGAAGTGCAACAGGTGATGGTAGGCAGAAAGGATGGCAGGGATGTGTGAAATCAGAAGGTGCATGAATTGCTGTAGAACTATGATCTGTCCTGTAAACCTTCACCAAATTCATAATAAAAAGCTTGAAATAATTAAATGATTTACACGAGGAGCAAAGAACTCCAAGTTTGGTACTAAGGAGGGCTTAGGAAGCTTTATGTCTTGGCCTAAACACAATGGAAGATCATGAGGAAGACAAGTGCTCACTGGGCCTTGTGAAAGCCACCACAGTATCTGTAAAGGAAGCAGCCCACACCGC